CATTTGTACAATTTTGAATCCCCACCACCTAGGGATGCTTCCAGTCAAATATGGTTGATATCCATGGCATAGTTCTACAGTAGAAGTCGTTTGAAGCAATATAGCCAAATTGCCCCCTTTTTGCCCCGCCCCTAAGCCCCCTGGGGGGTCAGCCCCATCATTTGTACAATTTTGAATCCCCACCACCTAGGGATGCTTCCAGTCAAATATGGTTGATATCCATGGCATAGTTCTACAGTAGAAGTCGTTTGAAGCAATATAGCCAAATTGCCCCCTTTTTGCCCCGCCCCTAAGCCCCCTGGGGGGTCAGCCCCATCATTTGTACAATTTTGAATCCCCACCACCTAGGGATGCTTCCAGTCAAATATGGTTGATATCCATGGCATAGTTCTACAGTAGAAGTCGTTTGAAGCAATATAGCCAAATTGACTCCTTTTGGCCCCGCCCCTCAGCCCCCTTGGGGGTCAGCCCCACCATTTGTACAATTTTGAATCCCCACCATCTAGGGGTGCTTCCAGTCAAATTTAGTTGAATTCCAATCAGTGGTTAAGAAGAAGAAGTCGTTTAAAGAAATTGTTGACGTACGGACGACAGACAGACGACGGACGCAACGGTATGGCATAAGCTCACCTTGGTCCTTCTGTCTGAAGATAGAATTCATTTTGATTTAAAAATTGTTTTGTTTTCAGGTTACGGGTGATGTGGAATTGGTTGGCGTAGTACGACACACAGAACCAGTAAGTTTGTCTGTATGCTGTATATAATACTGCTTATTTCAAATTGTGCTTCAAGTACTATTTATGAGAAAATTTATGTGAAATGAAAATTTATGTATATGCATGGTGTTATATGTTTGCCTAATTTTCCTTTACACATATTAAAACCTGCTATCCAGGCACTGTGTTGGTGATAATTGAGACAGTGTGAAATGTATTGCAAGTATATATAAGTAGTGATAGCCAAAACTAGAAACTTTTACAGGATGTACATTACTTTAAGGTAAAGGTGTTAATTAATTGGCAAAGTGTGTTCATTTATTTCTAGAAAAATGCTTTCACCAACAATCAAGGTATGGACGACCCGAAGATTTTATTTACACGAGATGTAGAGGCTCTGGCAGACACTTTGAAGACATCACCTGTCTATTTAGACGCTGACTCTAGTAAGTGTTACACCACTGTGTCTGGGAAGTACTTGTTAATTCATGTTTGTATGCTGCCTTGTCTAAGAGTTCACTATAGGTAGAGACTCCAGGAGACCAAACAAAGTAGTTCACTATAGGTATAGACTCCAGGAGACCAAACAAAGTAGTTCACTATAGGTATAGACTCCAGGAGACCAAACAAAGTAGTTCACTATAGGTATAGACTCCAGGAGACCAAACAAAGTAGTTCACTATAGGTATAGACTCCAGGAGACCAAACAAAGTAGTTCACTATAGGTATAGACTCCAGGAGACCAAACAAAGTAGTTCACTATAGGTATAGACTCCAGGAGACCAAACAAAGTAGTTCACTATAGGTATAGACTCCAGGAGACCAAACAAAGTAGTTCACTATAGGTATAGACTCCAGGAGACCAAACAAAGTAGTTCACTATAGGTATAGACTCCAGGAGACCAAACAAAGTAGTTCACTATAGGTATAGACTCCAGGAGACCAAACAAAGTAGTTCACTATAGGTATAGACTCCAGGAGACCAAACAAAGTAGTTCACTATAGGTATAGACTCCAGGAGACCAAACAAAGTAGTTCACTATAGGTATAGACTCCAGGAGACCAAACAAAGTAGTTCACTATAGGTATAGACTCCAGGAGACCAAACAAAGTAGTTCACTATAGGTATAGACTCCAGGAGACCAAACAAAGTAGTTCACTATAGGTATAGACTCCAGGAGACCAAACAAAGTAGTTCACTATAGGTATAGACTCCAGGAGACCAAACAAAGTAGTTCACTATAGGTATAGACTCCAGGAGACCAAACAAAGTAGTTCACTATAGGTATAGACTCCAGGAGACCAAACAAAGTAGTTCACTATAGGTATAGACTCCAGGAGACCAAACAAAGTAGTTCACTATAGGTATAGACTCCAGGAGACCAAACAAAGTAGTTCACTATAGGTATAGACTCCAGGAGACCAAACAAAGTAGTTCACTATAGGTATAGACTCCAGGAGACCAAACAAAGTAGTTCACTATAGGTATAGACTCCAGGAGACCAAACAAAGTAGTTCACTATAGGTATAGACTCCAGGAGACCAAACAAAGTAGTTCACTATAGGTATAGACTCCAGGAGACCAAACAAAGTAGTTCACTATAGGTATAGACTCCAGGAGACCAAACAAAGTAGTTCACTATAGGTATAGACTCCAGGAGACCAAACAAAGTAGTTCACTATAGGTATAGACTCCAGGAGACCAAACAAAGTAGTTCACTATAGGTATAGACTCCAGGAGACCAAACAAAGTAGTTCACTATAGGTATAGACTCCAGGAGACCAAACAAAGTAGTTCACTATAGGTATAGACTCCAGGAGACCAAACAAAGTAGTTCACTATAGGTATAGACTCCAGGAGACCAAACAAAGTAGTTCACTATAGGTATAGACTCCAGGAGACCAAACAAAGTAGTTCACTATAGGTATAGACTCCAGGAGACCAAACAAAGTAGTTCACTATAGGTATAGACTCCAGGAGACCAAACAAAGTAGTTCACTATAGGTATAGACTCCAGGAGACCAAACAAAGTAGTTCACTATAGGTATAGACTCCAGGAGACCAAACAAAGTAGTTCACTATAGGTATAGACTCCAGGAGACCAAACAAAGTAGTTCACTATAGGTATAGACTCCAGGAGACCAAACAAAGTAGTTCACTATAGGTATAGACTCCAGGAGACCAAACAAAGTAGTTCACTATAGGTATAGACTCCAGGAGACCAAACAAAGTAGTTCACTATAGGTATAGACTCCAGGAGACCAAACAAAGTAGTTCACTATAGGTATAGACTCCAGGAGACCAAACAAAGTAGTTCACTATAGGTATAGACTCCAGGAGACCAAACAAAGTAGTTCACTATAGGTATAGACTCCAGGAGACCAAACAAAGTAGTTCACTATAGGTATAGACTCCAGGAGACCAAACAAAGTAGTTCACTATAGGTATAGACTCCAGGAGACCAAACAAAGTAGTTCACTATAGGTATAGACTCCAGGAGACCAAACAAAGTAGTTCACTATAGGTATAGACTCCAGGAGACCAAACAAAGTAGTTCACTATAGGTATAGACTCCAGGAGACCAAACAAAGTAGTTCACTATAGGTATAGACTCCAGGAGACCAAACAAAGTAGTTCACTATAGGTATAGACTCCAGGAGACCAAACAAAGTAGTTCACTATAGGTATAGACTCTAGGAGACCAAACAAAGTAGTTCACTATAGGTATAGACTCCAGGAGACCAAACAAAGTAGTTCACTAAAGGTATAGACTCCAGGAGACCAAACAAAGTAGGTCTTTATAGGTGTTAATTGGAGGCGGACCAAAGAAATTAGTTTGCTTTTGGTATAAGCTTGAGAGGACCTAAGAAAGTTATTGCGTGTAGTACATGTGGTTCACCAACTTCACTGTAGGTACAATTCATTAGGAAGTTTAGGCCACTTTCGCATATCCGATTGAAACAGTTGAACCTGTAAAGAAAACGACAGGCACAGATCTGAACCGAGGCTGACCTCTGGAATATTCGGTGTAGATTGAGGTGTCCAGATGTACCTGACCGCAACTAAAATGCTGAGTATTGCTAGTTTGTGTTATTTCTTTCTAAAACAATGTCAAGCCACATGTAGTTTTAAAGATACATTATGTTATTCAGCGGACGCATGAAAGAAGGGCACAATATTCTTGATACATTGTTTTTTATTCTCCGAAACTGTGCATTTTTTAGCTCTGCTTATAGAACCGTTCAAGTGCATTCGTTTATCGTGGAATATTTCTGCGCCACCTGGACCGTTTCAACTGGGATACGTGAATGTAGCCTTAGAGAGTTTGATGTTTATGTGGACAAATCTGCATCTGCCGGATAATTGCCTCCTTCAACTAGCTGAAGATTATGCAATTTTGTGACAGGTGTGGCACAGGAAGAGATGTTCGATGAAATTAATAAAATGGTTAAAAATCTGTTAAAAAAGATAAAAACTGCATGAGTGATCTATCTGTGTGACACTAGAGCTTTAAAAGCACCTAATGTGTCAGCCTGTACTGTGTCCTCTGGAAGTTCATACCATTCCCGGATGGTATGTGGGAAGAAGGATAGTCTGTGGGCACTGGGTAGCAAATATATATAGCACATTAAAAACATCTTGAGGACTGTATTTAACTGTTTATATATCATTGCTTTTCCATCTTGAAATATTACTTTGATTTTGAAATGTTTTCATTTACAGATAGTACCATAAAAGGGGGCCCAATTGGGGGTCAGACAATCATCACACTCCGAAATGAACATTTGCAATATATTCTAACCTGGTGAGTACTCAATTTGACATTGTTGTAATTGTATTTTTGTTGGTTCAATACAGTGTAGGTGGGGCATATTGTTTACGCAGATTGTTTTGCCCCTGTATCCTTGCATTCTCTCGCGAGACTTGTGCATTTTTCAGCAAGAACTCTTCGAAGGGGAGTAACTCGTGGATGGTCGCGATAACACCTATTGTGTACATATTGGAGAGTTAAAATAATACTTATAAAAATAGGATCATAAATAAGTTTTCATTTCATATGAGATTTTTAAACAAATCTAGGAGTTTAGATTTTAGTGAGGCTCTGTCAAGATGATAGAAAACCTACAGACAATATATTCTGAAAATTATGGAGAAAAATAATATATAGCTCAACCTACAGCGATTTTATGGAACATGAAGGTTGTTCCTACAATAAATCTATTAGTTCATGCTAAAGTACTATTGCCATCTGTCTTTTTCCATTGTTGTGCATTATCCGTAAATATTAAGTGTTGACTCCGGAACCAAAGGCCTGTGACCTTTTGTTTGCTGGGCTGGAGACCTACCATTTTTGTTCTATTGAATAACATGGACCTACTTTAATTGTCATACAATTGACGTATGTTAAAAACTTGAAATTACTTTGAAATATCCATTAATGCCTCGAGTACAGATTTTTAGGTTCAGGTAGTAGGGCTGAAGGGCTATCAGGTTTGATGAAGATATTACCTTGACATACTTTCAATGTCACAAGGGTCAAAAATGTTTAAAAACCTGTAAGTGGATTCTTCTAAATGTCAAAAAGTCCAAAAGTATAATATAGCTTTATTAGATAAAACTATCAAATTTGTTCAAATAAATGACATTTAAATACTTTCAAAGGCACAGTGATCAAACATGTTTAAACAAACTTCAAATGGCTTTTTCTTATGGTCCAATGTCAAATGTGCTAGAATAATTGGACAAGTTGTCATCTCTATTAGGAATTGAGTTACATGTATTACAAAATTTTCCAGTGTACAGTATTTAGTCAGGTAACCTTTTTTACAGCTCATGGTCTTCTTGTTGTTGAATGGGAATCAGTTACGGGGATGTTTTATTTTCATAACCTTCATATGTCACCTTTTCACCTTTAATTGCATGTTTTGACATATGCTTGTACCTAGTAAACTATGTTTACTTTTTATTTTCAGGTACGGGGTTTGTATCCTGAGTCTCATCTTGTATGCTCGACGCTTCAGAAAACCACCTTCATTGCAAACACAGATTCGTCAAAAATGAACGTGCCAGGATTATCATATCAGTTAATGAACAATTGTAGCGTTTTACAAGTACTTCAAAACAAACATTCTCACATCAGTTAAGGAACTACACCGTTTTTAGATTTATATCCGTGATTGTGATTCAGACAGGGACTTGAATTCGTGCAATGAACAAGTACATAGGTATATATCCTGTTTAAATGTATTATATGTTTTAATAATAAACATTTGCAATATATCTAAATTCTTGGTCAGTGCTTATGACTCAAAAGGTGTTTTTAAAGATTTTTCACCTTTTTTGGATTATGACCTTTTCCACTAAAAATAACCAGGTTAAAGTTTTTGAGGTAAATTTTGTGAAGGCCTTGACGCTGAATTTAAACAAAAGAAAATCACCAATATAATAAATTTGAACTCACCCTACAAAACAAGGGAACTGGATATCTCAAGAACTTGTGCATTGACATATATGCCTTTATTATCCCCTCACAAAGAAAGATTGAGGGGTTACAGAATTCCGCCCGTATGTATGTTACACTCTTTGTCATCGCTCTAGCGACTTCATTTCTAAAAAGGAATTTCATGAAACTTCATACAAGTGGTATGGCAATACCTTGAATAAGTTCGCGTAACTGCGTTAATTGAAGGTCAAGGTCACTGTTACTTTTTTTAGAAAAACTTTGTCATCACTCTAGCAAATTCATTCCTCAACGGAATTTCATTAAACTTCATACAAGTGTTTGATATGGCAATGCCTTGAACAAATTAGCATTTCAGATTTCTATGTTAAAGGTCAAGGTCACTGTTACTATTTTTAGAAATAAACTTTTGTCATCACTCTAGTCACTTTATTCCTAAATGAAATTTCTTAAACTTGATACAATTGTTTGCAATGACAATACCTTCAACAGATGCAGTCGCTAGAGCAGTTACTGTTACATCATTAAATTTTCTATTCACTTCCTTATACATATGGCACACAATGTGTGAATTAGAGTGGATTTGTATCACTTATGATGCCTTGTATACATTAACAATACTGTGATAAATTCTTGAAATAAAATATTGATTTCATTGTTTTTGTCCTTTTGATTTCATGTCTCTACTACGTTACAATATACAATGTTCTTTTTATTTTGTCATATACTTCGAAATTTCTGGTAATTTGTAGGTTGTTTTTCTGTACAAACTTTCCTACATAATTTTCTTGTTCCAAGCTGTATAATTTTAGGGAACAATTTTTCACGGTAATAAAGTAACTATGAAAATCAAATTCTCATAAAAATAATTTTTACATTATCATACCGTTTACCAAGAAAGTTTCATAAGTCAAACATTCGCCCTTTGCCAGTAAAAGCCATGTTTGCCCAGCGTTAATTTTGCCAGCCGCATATTATAACTATATATAGTGTGTGCACAGGTGAAATTATATTCCCCGTCATGATAAAAAAGGCGAAAGTTAAACTGCGGTGAAAATTTCCCTGTATACATATGTTAAAGGGTAAAATCAGTAAGTCGTTTTACTATAATTACATATTTTTAAGTCATTACCAATATTCAAATATAACCTGTAAGTCCATACAAAACAAAACAAACTGTGTCTTTTGTAGTTTTATTGGCATAATCTTCAAAGCATATCAACATTATTATATGCAGTATCTATTTTTAGTAAAATTTTACTGGAAGACGTGTATAAGTAAGGTATAAAAAGTGTTTTTGTTAGAAATATAACATCATACTAATCTTAAAGATTAAACACACAAAAGAGTAGATAAAGATAAAAAGACTAGAATCATCAACATTGTCAGCATTTGACACATGAACTATCGAAAAAAATATGTTAACTTTTTGTATTGTATAACATGGGTAGCAGAACATGATAAATCTAGAGATTCACTTCTTGTTAACTGGTACACATTTTTTCACCTAAACGTCATACATTGTACAAAGATTGTAATTATTGAAAATTTATCACTGGAAAACTTCATTCGGTGTTATATGGTTTTGTTATCAATCCTTCAGGTTGGGAAATTTGTAATAAAAATATTTTACCATCGGCTACATAATGCACCACCAATGTAACAAAGCGATGTTTTACAGTATGATAATAATCATTCTTATATACCGCTTTATCACAACTATTCTTATCCGTGGTTATAGGGCCTTTGCAACCTGACAATATCTTTCTCAATTCCCTGAGGAGCTTACAGCCGGTGCTGCCATTTCGGTACTAATAGCTAGCACTCAACAATTCCAGCACTGCCCAACCACTTACCCGGTACTCATTTACAGCTGAGTAGACTGGAACAAGCGGATTCGAGGATACAACAGTGCCGTGATGTGACTCAAAACTCACGAGCCCAGCGTCCTACCACTAGACTACCGTGCCCCCCAGTACTGTTCTATTTTAAATCATTTTATTACAATGGATTGGCAATACTATGATTTGTTAAGTTACATCCAGAGTCACTTTTTATGATTTTGCATCTCCCTTCTGTCAAACGGTAATATTCAATTCACTAAGTGAATACCAATATATACAAAGAACTTGAGCAAATATCTGTTTTTGAAACAGAATACAAGAGGCTTAACTATTTCATAGAAGAGAAGAACAATGTATATAACAAGTTCAGAACGATTACATTGATGTAGGTATTAGAAAGAAAGAAATATTTCAACAAACTATGTATTAACAACAAATATTTTACAAGTTCATTAAATTCCCTTAGTTTTAAACACAAATTTATTTCCATCTTTTTGTTATAAACTTTGAAAAGTGCATTCTGTAAATAGCTATCAATGCATAACCCCCATCAGAAATGTCCTCAATGTCGGAATCCAACACTGGATTAATTAATCCAGCACTAGAATGTTTTGTGTTTGCGAATATCTGAGGAATTTCATTTCATAAGTGAATTGGTATCCATATGAAGCAATTCTTTGATCAGTAAAAAGTTAAACCTGGAGAATATAAGTGTAAAATCAGATCTGGTTACACTAAACCCTGATCAGTGGGAATTTATATATTTTTATCAGTGTCAGGTGTGACCTTGATCAGTTACAAATTGGAGGTTATGTTTAGGGGTACCACTCATACAATTTAATGAACACAGTGGTCACATCAACCATGGTTTTTTTATCAATATAAACAAAACATTTGCAAGGGACACAATTTTTTTCTCTAGTTTCAACACATATTCCTATGTGTGATCAAGTTAATATCATCATTTGTGATCCAACCTTCCAAAAGGCTGGCGCGTCCATTATAATATAGATTTTTATAGACATATTTGCAAAGAACCAAGTAAAAAGCAGAAAACCCCACCATGGTTAAAAGTGATTGATTTTGAAGTCCCAGAGTCGAGTAAGTAAACATCAATTGTACCTAAATATGTGACAGTTTTGCTGTAGGACACAGAGGGTAATCTTTCCCAGAATGCATTACAGTCCTTTCTATTCAAGATTGGAGCATGGCAAAAGGAACCTCTGGAAAGATTGAGAGGAGTTTGAACCAAGGATGCAGATTCTATTCATCAGTTAAACATCACTATACCCAGTAAGTTATCATAAAGAAATGATAATATTTTTCTGTACTTGGAAAGAAATAATGACTCAATTGAAAATCTTTTTATCAAACAGTTAAAGTAACTATTCTATTGTTATGGTACAAGTTAAAATTTGTTACCACTTCACAATCAGCTGTTTATATTAAAACAGCCTAAACATACAACTTGTACCTGTAAGACTTACAACTGAGCTTTAATTTATATGTGATGGAAAAGGATTCAAATGACAATAAAAGGGAATGGATTTTAGATGTCCATATCTCATCACACAAAAAAACCATTAAACATCTTGTTAAAAAATATACTATTTTAAAATTCAAAAAGCTAAAACCCGATTAAAACCAAGTAAACTTAACAATATCTGTATCTAATAAACTTACAACAAGTACATGTACTGTCACTGTGGAACTTTCATGCTGTGGATATTTTGCTAATTTTAATAGTGTTTATTACATTAGTGTGAAAAAATACTCACAAACACATGGGCTCATAATGAAATATGTTGCAGCAACATTGCCAACACAAAAATTACCATACTGAGATTGGTTTGAAAATTGAAGTCGAACATAAAATAACAACAAAAATATTTTTCACACTTCCAGCCTTTAACAATCTTCAACAAAGCTTGCCACACTTGTAACTTACGTCTGTATAGTAGCTGACTATGGGGTACCCTTATAACAATCATCAACAAAGCTTGGCACACTTGTAACTTACGTCTGTATAGTAGCTGACTATGGGGTACCCTTATAACAATCATCAACAAAGCTTGGCACACTTGTAACTTACGTCTGTATAGTAGCTGACTATGGGGTACCCTTATAACAATCATCAACAAAGCTTGCCACTCTTGTACGGTAACTTACGTCTGTACAGTAGCTAACTATGGGGTGCCGTTATAACAATCATCAACAAAGCTTGGCACACTTGTAACTTACGTCTGTATAGTAGCTAACCATGGGGTACTGTTATAACAATCATCAACAAAGCTTGCCACACTTGTAACTTACGTATGTACAGTAGCTAACTATGGGGTACCGTTATAACAATCTTCAACAAAGCTTGCCACACTTGTATACGGTAACTTACGTCTGTACAGTAGCCAACTATGGGGTACCGTTATAACAATCTTCAACAAAGCTTGCCACTCTTGTATACGGTAACTTACGTCTGTACAGTAGCCAACTATGGGGTACCGTTATAACAATCTTCAACAAAGCTTGCCACTCTTGTATACGGTAACTTACGTCTGTACAGTAGCCAACTATGGGGTACCGTTACAACAATCATCAACAAAGCTTGCCACTCTTGTATACGGTAACTTACGTCTGTACAGTAGCTTACTATGGGGTACTGTTATAACAATCATCAACAAAGCTTGCCACTCTTGTATACGGTAACTTACGCCTGTACAGTAGCCAACTATGGGGTACCGTTACAACAATCATCAACAAAGCTTGCCACTCTTGTACGGTAACTTACGTCTGTACAGTAGCTAACTATGGGGTACCGTTATAACAATCATCAACAAAGCTTGCCACACTTGTAACTTACGTCTGTATAGTAGCTAACTATGGGGTACTGTTATAACAATCTTCAACAAAGCTTGCCACTCTTGTATACGGTAACTTACATCTGTACAGTAGCTAACTATGGGGTACCGGTACAACAATCTTCAACAAAGCTTGTCACACTTGTATACGGTAACTTACGTCTGTATAGTAGCTAACTATGGGGTACCGGTACACAAATCTTCAACAAAGCTTGCCACTCTTGTATACGGTAACTTACGTCTGTACAGTAGCTAACTATGGGGTACCGGTACAACAATCTTCAACAAAGCTTGCCACACTTGTATACGGTAACTTACGTCTGTACAGTAGCTAACTGTAGCCAACAGAAAATGTCAACCTCAATGGACAGATAAAATATAACAACTCTTCTTAACCTGTGAGTAGTAACAAAAAAAACTTAATGCAATGCAATCTTCAATATTTTTCAACATGTTTTTAATTCTTATATGTGACGTTTAAGACCGGTTTCATATATCATGTCAGTAATACCAGTTATCCATGCTTTAAAGATATAGGTATGTCATCTTATATGTGGCTTGTAGCTATATAGCTATATAGTGAGCTTTGGAAAAGATCTACAACACCTGCATTAATCCTTTAAATTGAAAGACTTAAATTCTGACAAAATGTTGAATCCCTGTTCTGCCCATTTTGGATTTACGGATCATTTACACACAAGTATGATTAAGACGCATAATATTTTCATTAAATTTTTCGAAATGTATTTTTTTATTACAAAAGTATCAATAATTGCTGCTGGGAAGTGTAACTCAGAGATTTAAATATAAATTGATATCTCATAGCAATGTGTAGGAGTCCTTTTTTTGGAACATGAACTTAACATTACACAGTAATCAGAAGTCTTTACAAAACACAAGTTTGAGGAGAGGAAACTGATCTAGTTGTTAGCTAATGTGAAATGAAGACTTGGAGTCGGTGAGAGCAAGAAAATATGGTAAATAGTTAAAACAGTTCATTATCAACTGCCCTGAACAAAATTGTGATTTATGTCTTATTGACAAAGAATAATTAACAGCCTGTATAATACATACATAATGAAGACACATATAGTCTTTATACCCAAGTGTGTGTGTTGGAATATCAGGATCACATTGTATTGAATTCTGTATATTTCACATAATGGGGCAAAATGGTCTCGCAAAAAATGATCATCATAATTTATGTGTCAACAAACATCTAAAGGTGTCGCTGTTTGGACACAAGACAATCAATAATGTGAGGCCTGACAGACAGCCATGTGTAGGTATACTGCACACAGCCATGTGTAGGTATACTGCACACAGACATGTGTAGGTATACTGCACACAGACATGTGTAGGTATACTGCACACAGACATGTGTAGGTATACTGCACACAGACATGTACAGTAATTTGTTTACCATATTATACAGATGAATGTTTAAGTACAGTATAATACATACAGGCATATATTTTATCATACTATAGGTTTGTACAATCAACCAAGTATGTCATGTGTGTAAAAGGGAAATGATGTACTATGTGTGCACACGTGTCTTCACATAACAACACAAATTTACAACAATATTTTTGTATACATAAAAACCACAAAATACCTATATGACTTCCAATAAACTATATAGCAAACATACGAACAATCAACCACAATCAAACTGTAACAATATCTCAAATTATTTATAATAAACAACTTTTCTCAGCTAAATACAAAGCAGATGTTGTAAAAACATTATGACATCTGAGTGTAAAAAGTTATTTAAGTTCGTTAAAAAAATAGCTGTATTAATGGTTATATGTATAGTGTTAGTAGGGTGTATTAGTATAGTATGGTGTGAGTCAACAGCTATAATCCAATGTTATGTGAAACATCGGGTACTACAAAACAAAGAATAACGCTATACACAAGTATTTCACTTGTATATTCAAACCTCGTAAATCATGCAACCTATTAAAAACTACCAAACAGTCACTTAAATTACAGAACCAAGATATAGTTAAAGAGAACCATGAATTTTAGTACCCAGAAAAAATATATACAGGATACTCATGAATTACAATACCTGTACATATTAGATACATACAGGAGTGCCCTAAATTAAAGTATGCAAACGGAGTCCTGAATTGCAGTAACTGTTAGTTGAGCCCTGTATAATAGTGGCTGGATAAGAATATCGAAGATACATTACAGTATCTGGCCATACAAATGGAGGAGCTATGAATACAAGAACCTGGAACCATACTCATATGAGCCTGACTGTTATGAGGGCATTTAACCCCAAGCAAACAAAACCAAAATCTAGAAATTACGGAATTACAGTACCCATAGGGCCCTAAAGTACAGTACCTTGAAAACACTCATTTACAATACTCCAGTATATATACAAAGAACCCTGAATTACATTATCCATATAGGTCCCTGAATTACACTACCTGGGGATATCAAATTACAGGACCAAGATATCTGTATTGAAGCCATAAATTCCAGTTCCAGAAGAAGGAAGGATAATAATTTCTTGAGAACACAGTATTATTTTATCCGAAAGACTGGAATAACAGTAGGCAGACTTCCAGACTTATACAGCCTAAATCCTTCTCAGGAAAATCACACAACAGACATGTGATAAAAGTATGTCCTTAAGGGAGGGGGTTGCAGCAGTGTACGACATGGTCAATGTGATCAGGGGCAAACCATGTGATCAGAGGCAAACCATGTGATCAGAGGCAAACCATGTGATCAAAGGTAAACCATGTGATCAGAGGCAAACCATGTGATCAAAGACAAACCATGTGATCAGAGGCAAACCATGTGATCAAAGGCAAACCATGTGATCAGAGTCAAACCATGTGATCAAAGGCAAACCATGTGATAAAAGTATGCCCTTAAGGGAGGGGGTTGCAGCAGTGTACGACAGGGTCAATGTGATCAGGGGCAAACCATGTGATCAGAGGCAAACCATGTGATCAGAGACAAACCATGTGGTTAGGGTCGAATCATGTGATCAGGGGCAAACCATGTGATCAGGGTGATGTGTATTTTTATTCACATTTTAAACTTTTCATTGGAAAAATATCATTGTTGTTCAAAAATTAACTTGTTACAATGTACAACATATTCAAGAACTTCTTATAACATAATTTACCTTTAATAAAGCAATCAAAAATGAACATCACAAATATAAATATTACAATTGTGGATAACAGTGTAAATGAAAATTGAAGCGTGCTTTGTTATGGGATTTATTGGCAGTGAATAAATTTAGTAAGGGTATGTAACCACAAGGTATACACATTTATGATGATAATAGGTCAATGAATTGGATGAAAATATGTATATTATATATAACAAACTAAGAGTACATGTAGCTTAGGGTGGGGTGACATAATTTAATATCCTTAACAACCGAGGGTGGAGAGATGTTACAGGATATAATAACAAACTTATTAATTGGAACGTCATATATTAATATTAAGCATTACACAAGTGTTATCTACCAAAAATCTTAACAAATGTTTATCACATAAAACCAACTTTTGTAAATTTCATCATGCATTATAGTTTTAGAAATTCTTTATTTGAACTGATCATCAAATAATTGCTTTTCAGGTTTTTTATTTATTTTTATTGAGATAAAAAAAACAACACAAATGGGTGTTTGTGGAGATTTTGGGTGATATAATAAAGGATTAGAAACTCACATCAAGCCACATAGGTTAATGGTATATACATGTAATAATTTGGACACATTTACAACCATGAAGAGAACTTGTTGCAGCCAAGCATTTTTGTCACTTTATCCTAAAAATTGAGGTAATAAAATTTTGCAATTTTCATGAAATATCACACACAATAATGTTTTTAAACAGTGACCATAACTCACTTTGATGCTCTGCATTGAGAAGCCCATCGTTAAATCTTTAAACCCGCAGAAAATAAAGGTTTCTGCTGATATTATTCAGCTATTGAAATAAAAATAAAAATTTAAAAGTCCCAAATCATCAAAATGGATTCCTGCAAAAATGATCTGCTATAAAGTACATTGCACATCATATCTACATTATATATGTAATGTATTGAATATATGAATATTATATAAAGAAAGAACATGGAGAATGATAGCTATGTATACCCGATGTTCAATGCAATATCAACATATTTTAAACAAGGCTTATAACACAGCTTAGAGCCGTTTTATAATCTGTTATTTAAAAAAACAAATCATCAGTAACATTAATTCATTTGAAATTGGCACATGTAAAATTTACAATTAGACAATTGTTTGCATATTTATAACATTCATTTCATCAGTAACAGTATATATGTCAAGGCAAGATATATGATGATTAGAATACAAGGATAGCTTGGTAGCCCTCTTTAAGATCAGCAAATTGTGCACTGGCACTAAAATTAATTACAAGATACCTAATTATAGTGTCATAATTAGTTCTTATTAAAGCCGATTACATGACAGAAATCACTGTCGGTAAGATTCATGAAACTACTTATAAAAATAACATATACAATATCAAATATAGTAGCATTTATGAGTACTATAGGAATTGCTAGGAAATTGATTTATATATTTCATATTTACAGAGAATGAATATATGAAATTATGCTTTTTCAAAAATGCCTCCATCCTAGGTAAAAGGAAAAAGAAGGAGGATATAAAAAATAGTAACCCTGCGGTTCCAGGAATCTATAACATATTCCCTGAAGCTAATATTACATGTACCTTCATACATAAATGAAAATTGATCTTGGCTACAATAGAAAACCATACAACATTAATGTATGGCAGATTTGTTCTTGTAAACATGTTCACACATATCCTGTCATGACATGTTAGATTTTGGAGTGAGTGTACGTATCTCACTAGAAAACAACATGTCATGAATCCACATGGAAATGATTGAGACACACAAGTGATATTATACTGGGCCCTTTTCATTTTTGGGCGAGTGTAACAAGACAGTTATACACAACTACTGTATGTAGGTCATACAGGAGTGACGATTATGATTCTTGTTAGAAGGATGAAATAATATGAATCCTTGTGAAGTTCAATTAAAGTTTTTTTGCAATGTAAGAGTCACATTATGAAAGGCTTGTTAGAAAAAAATCTGTGTATACCGTATCATCGTAGCAATTATTTCAATTGTTTTCAATTAACCCTTACCAGCAAAACTTAATACATATACATATAATTTCCTTTTTTCACTAACAAATGGTTTCCACTTTATTACTATTGACAGAAGAAGTTGATGATTGTCGAGAGAAATTCTTTAGTTGGCTTCCACTTCCTTCACTGCTGTGCCTGACATACCCGCCGGATGAACTACTTCCTGTTCGAGCATGATGGATGGCACTGCTCCCTGAACTTGAACCACTTCCTTCACGAGTGTGACGAACTACACTGCCCTCTGGTGGTGAATAATAGCCACGATTGTGGACAGACACTGGTGAAGACATTACACCACTGAGTGTCTTTGGAGGAACCTGTGGTGATTTTTTAGCAACTGCTGGTGATCTTTGTATAACGGGTGATGACCTCTCTGTGCGTTGTACTTGGGGTGATTTGTGAGGTACCTTAGGGGACCTATGGGGTATCAATGGGGACTTCCTAGGCACCTGTGGTGACGTTTCAACACCTTCTTTGGGTTTAGGTCTCCTAAAGGACCTTGTCCTGCTTACAACCTTGATGTCTTTCATATTGATATGGATGTTTGGGTTACTTCCCTGACGCGTGAGTGTGCCTGTGGGACTACTGGGCATGCTCCGAGGTGTATACATGCTCCATGTATCAGACTTACTATTCTGTCGTCCACCTTTGTGTCTAAAGAGATTCAGTAGAGATTTACTTTTCTGTTTACTTTGTGATTTCAGAGTTGATTGAAGCTCCAGAGTTCCAGATTTAATAGCACTTGCACGGACATCACTCAGTTTATCTTTGCTCTGCAGATGTAGGAAGTTGGGATTTGATACTGAGCGAACAAGAGTGTCTCTACAAGTTTCATTGAAACGTCTTCGTATCTCTGCTACTGGCCTGATGCTACTTTCATCGATTTCTCCACGTAAGCCCTGAATGTTGTAATAGTTTTCTGTGGATTTCCTATTGTAATAATGAGGACTTTCTGTCAAAAGCTCTATACTGCCATGAAAGTCTTGCAGATTTTGAAATGGATTAATAGGTTTTGCTAAGTCATAATCCGGAACATTTTGATTGACATCTGTATTTCTCCTTGTTGACAACCTTTTTGATTCATCATTCACATTTTCACAGCTGACAGATCGTAATCTATTCATCCTTGAATTTGAAGATCTACAACGACCTTGAGATGACCTTTTGTTGTTGTGACTACTCTGACGTGGCAAACTACTGAAATTTGCATCTGTGGGGGATGGAAGAATGTAATCTATAACACCATTGCCTCCCTCCATTTCAGTACTGGCCCTTGGGGTTAGGTATTCGTCAATACTTGGCCCTGAGTCACTGAATCTTCCCCCTGTGGCCTCAAAAAATGACGGGGGAGGGGACCAGGCATCAGGGGCTTGTCGAACACTTGGGGACTGGAAGTTGCTCCCAGCACTGGAAGTTGAATTCATCCTGAAATAATGATCATCACTGAGTAGAGCTCCCTCATTACTGTTGCGTGGAATTCCTATTGGTTTGGTGTTACCCTTGGCTGGAGGAGGGAGAGGTGGACGATCAGCCAGAGGGTTACTTCCCTTGTTTACACTTGATACCCCAACAGACCCTTGACTGTTGTTCCTCAGAATCTGTGGCGAACTTTTGGAACGGTTTTCTGAAATCATCCTTCTGGGTAATGGTGGAGGGACTTCATTTCCACTAGATCAATAGAAAAAGATAATTGGAAAAAATGAACAATAGACCACAACCATTTGGATGAAGTTACCATATATTTTAAAATTATAAAAAATGTCATATATTTCCATTTACCTGCAGCACTGATTTAATATATTGATCATGATTTAAACTATTTCAATACCAGGATAAATCACCTTTATATTCGTAATAATTGATATTATGCAATAAAACTAGAGGCTTATATTTACAATTTTATATTTTATTCAGTCACTATAAATCTTCACATAACCTTGTGCAGAAAATCATTAGTAAATTAAGATATCTTACAAATATTGAAAAAGAATCCTCTCAATTGCTTATTCAAGTAAAAGCTACTAGCAAAGCCCACAAAGTAAAGTCGTACAAAAAAAAGTGATTTACCATACATAGTTAAATCTTTCTTTTCTTTTTTGGATAATGCAAATTTAGGATGATAATGATTCCTTAACAGAAGATTTTTTTTTGTTCATGTAGTATAAACCAACAGAAATTAGCATCTTCCAAATAGTTCATTCTCTACCAATAATAATTTTCCTGGAATTTCTAAGAGCTCATTTCAGAAAAGATGTATTTTACTGTGGATCTCTGACTGATCATTTTTTTTTTTTCAAATTTAAAAGTACATAGTTTAATAAGTTTGACTAATATAAAAATCTTTTACATGGAAAAATTCTCATAATTTTAACATCAATATAACAACCAATAAGTTGAAAATATTTTCTATTTATCATATCATGTCCTACATATTTGACTATGGTTCAGGAAAAGTTTAAGAAAGAATATCAGTACATTTGTACTAAAAAATATTTTTCTGATTTATAGAGATATTTTATAATAAGTGCTAAACAATATACCTGTGGCTAATTTGTATAACCAAGCGAGCAGGTGAGCCACAAAAACCTGCTGAGGGGTTAAATGATTATCACAATTTGTAGTAGAGTATCAGTCTATAGTGATGACTCATGCTAATATATATGTTTCTTTCATACATTGCCCAGTCAACAGCTATAATACAGCTGGCCGGGTACATACATGAAAGTATTATTAGTAGTATCACAGCTGTTATATCTCCTTAGCCCATATNCTAATTAACACACTGCTGGATAAAAAAGTAGAGCTGAAGTGTTTATATCTCCCTCCTAGGTGTTTGTGTTTAAAACACTTCTATTAAACTAAGTGTTTATGAAGTTTACGTCTGTAATTTTTCAGCCCTAATTTTACAACAGCCTGTTTCTTCATGATCTGGGAAACTATAGCATTATTTTTATTAAAATTGGGAGCTATTCCGGACTTTTTTCTTTATTTTGGGAAAATAAAGCTCTTTTTAATTAGCCAGAGGAAGAAGTCTGTATTCAGCTGTAAAACAAGGCAAAACCAATCATTGTATGTTTAAATAATGGTATGAGAAGATAAAGCATATAAGGTATAGTACTTACTCTGTACTGGATGCTTGGCTGTTTTGGCGAGTATGGACTATTGGTGTAGATCTGGGAACTGGAATAAAAAAGCAACAAAACTTGAGTTGGTTCCGATGACCTACAAAGTTGTTTTAAATGTTTTATAAAAGACATCCGCTCTATGTAAATATCTTTTAGTATGATGAATATACTTTAGGTAAAAACATGTATGTATTCTTGATTTCCCTCAATATACAATACCAGTAATTATAAAATTGGCAGAAAGTTACATTAAGCTGATCACACAACAAATAAGAAGATTTCATTATTTAATGTATTGTTTAGTAAGTTACTGATATTTCCCTTTTCTTTTCTTCTTCCAATTTTTGGCAGGGTATTGAGATTATTATTTAACAAATTTCTCTCTATTTGGCATGACACATTTAGTCAGCAAATTAAATAAAGACTTCGATATTTCATTGATTTCTCTCAATTTGACAGGGCATTATACATGATTTCTTTAAATATTTTAACACTTGGAAGGATTTACATTTTTGGTGCTAAGCTTTGTGGCTTGACATTTTGTTTATTTCATAAATATGACTAGTAATCACTATACACTTTTTTAACTTTCCTGTATTAAACCAATATTTTCCACATAAATTTCCAAAAAGAGTAAATATCAAAACAGAATGTATTACGACACAAGTAAGTAACAGGAGTCAGTTTCCTTATACTCACCATTCCCTACCACATCATAATTCCAATTGTCTTTGAGTATTTTGGTTATATCTGGATTTTCAAGGGTCATGAGAGAGACAGATGTAAGGGCAGACAACTTTTCAGCCTCTTCAACATAATCCTCAACTTCCTCTGTTGTTCCCCGGCGCCCTGGATGTATCTTTCCTAGAGCATCAACAATGTGTTGGTCCAAGAGGTCATAGAGTTTGCTGTCGTCACCAGGTGCGGTTTGAAAAACATATATACCATCCCCCATCGGAGCCACACGACCAGCCTCTAGCAGGAAGCTGCCCTGGCCTGACGCCTCAAAGTATCGCATACTCTTCAATGGCCACTGGGCAAGTACTGACCTACTGGACTGGAGAGCAAACAACATGTTGTATGTATTTGATTGATCAATGTTGTCATATTTCTTTATGATATTATTGTAACTCAAAATGAAATATGAATACAGTTTTTGTATTTCCTAAATCTTATACTATTGTATTGGAGATACATAGCATTAAAGCTAAGTGACATGACCATATTTTTTTTTTCAAATATAGATAATGAAGCAAACATTTGAAAGCAAAAATTGTTGAACAAACAGAAAAAGTTGTCATAGTGAAATTTACCAGCAAAGCTAGAGTGGCACCCCATGGCGATACATGCAGCATACAGTTAGCTCCCTTTGTTCCAATTCTTCGTTGAGCCTCTGAATTTTCTGCTTTTACAAAAACAAAATCCTCTGCAAATAAAAGAACAACACTTGAATGTAAAAGTCCTATAGTTTCTGTGCTGTATTTATACTTTCATCGATTCCGTAGCTGATACCTTAGTACTGATGACAATCCTGTAGACAACATTAACACTGCCCACAAAGGTAACTTTAGTAATATTCTGCCAAATGTGGGTCTCTATTGCCAGTATGTCCTGTACCTCTTTGTCATTACCCAATACACTTTTGTTTGATAATGTTAATCAAATTATTTTTACACTTAATACATGCATAGTTGATTTTGTAAATAGATTCAAGTGCAATATCTGAAGTGGAACTAACACCAGGAAAATATCAATTTTACCAGGAAAGAGTGCAAGTTTGACAGGGTGCAAGTTTCACAGTAAACAGTATTTGCTCTTTGGCAATTAACTGAAAGAAATCAAATTCATATTTATGAATTTAACCAATACTAATTACATACAAATAACATAGGTGTGAACAAACCTTTAATTTGTTCCCGAAGAATGATCTGTGTCTGAAGCATGAAGACGAACATGTCCATGTGTCTCTGTTCATCAGCAGACAGACACAGGTATTTCTCAGCAGTGGTGAGCTCAAACACATAAGCCCTATTACGTGTGTTTGTGACTTTCTCCAAACGGAAACCTCCCGACAAATGGACTTTATCTGTGAAATTAATCATAAAATATACATAGATAATAAGAATGTCATGGTATGCCTGGACTGTATCTTGATACATAGCAATTAGAAGAAATGCACAGTCATATACCAGTATATGGACAAAGGTAAAGTGTTATTTTTTTCTGAAAATAGTGCTTTATTTCAGATGAGTGGAATGTCAAAATGCTGTCTATACCTGAATCATAGATCATATGGATCACAGATTGAAGATTTTCATGAATAGATCATTGATTATATTTTTTTTAACAATTTATTCCATTGTTACTACTTCTTTCAAAAATATCATCTCCTAGAATTGCTGTTTTGAAGAAATGTGACTAGACTTTGAATATGTTCTCATGATCAAAAATTATTCTGATTACACACACACATATATAGGCCCTTATTATATATCCCCTTCAGGTCTTGGTCAAATATGGTACATAATGTATACAGGTGAATTGTTTATATGTCTATTCGGTAGTTACCGTTTGGTGATGCATTCTTGTTTTTGGGTTTTTTGCTATGGTACTCAAGCACAGGTCTGTTTCCATTACTCCGCAGTATAAAGTAGCGCTGCTTCCAAGGATTGGACTTGCTGAAGAATGACTTCCCCTTACCTCCCGTCAACTTGTAAAGGTAATTCTACAGGAAAAAACAAATACATGTAGGCATCAATTTAATTATAATTCAGATGAACAAAAATACATGATAAAACATTAAACGTTAAAACATAAAAATTGTGATCTTGTATGAAAAAGTTTTCTATAAATGACAAATCAACAATTTCAAACTACTTATTTAGATTTAAATAAACATGATACACAATTAATGAGCATGTACATGTATAAGTTGTTGAACTTCTTTCTACCACAATGTTAATAATACTGTGATCAACAAATTTGTTTTACAAATAACAATTCCGACTACAAAGGAATTTGTTTAAAGGGACTAGGTGTTCATAAATATAAATAAAATCAAAACAACTTTGTGTTCAGTTCTATACCTTAATTTGATTTTATTAAAATTCTTGATATTGAGTGATTGTAGTTAATTCTGAGTGTTCATTTATCCATTCATTATCCTACATGAATCACAACATTAATTATGTCCATAATGGATGAACATGAAGTCAAAAGCTGACAATCTTCAAACTGTCGTATTCAATAGTTCAGGATTTACAATCAAAGTCGTGGAAGGCATCAATCCAATGGCTGATTACCACTGATTTTTAACCAACACCTCATCTGTTTAATATATGACCTTGAGGTTGATAAACAGGGCCAACTGTGCTAGTGTGCGAGCAAAGTTATTACTCATGCTTACTTCCATTGTGTAGACAAACATTTTTTAATAATTATCAATATTTTTTTATGACTATCAATAGAACTCTGCAGTGTGATTTTAGTAGCAATATTAATACTGTATCATCAAAGTTGAGACAACATTTTGATATCATGTTGATCATTAGGACAGTGATCTTGAATGACATCTGCCACATTACCGATAGTTACATTTTATATATAGTCATCATATAATATAAATTATACAATGTACATATTCATTGTACAGTGTATATGAAGGCACGGTAGTCCAATGGTAGGATGCCGGGCTCGTGACCGAAGGGTTGCGGGTTCGAGTCAGGGCACGACACTGTGTTGTATCTTTGAGCAAGATATTTTACTCCGCTTGTTCCAGTCAATTCAGCTGTAAATGAGTATGTGGTTGGGCAGTGCTAGAATTGTTGAATGCTAGCTGTTAGTGCCAAAAATGGCAGCTCCGGCTGTTATATATATGCTCCCCAGGGAGTTGAGAAAGGTATTGGCTGGTTGCAAAGGCCCTATAACCATGGATAATAATTTGTGAACCGCTTTGAGACGACCTATGAACTAGGTTGTGATAAAGCGGTATATAAGAACCTCAAATTAATATTATTTATTATTATTATTACATAATCTATATATAACACACAGCTGTAGCTGTAAATGACAGAATAAAACTGCATACGTATGTAAATACAAATATCCAGCAATATATCTAAATTCATCATAGACAGATCTTTGAAACACCATGTGGATTGAATGAATATAAATTCTCCCTCATGTTTTAAATTTTTGAAGTTATATTAATTACATTATTAGAATAAATACTGTTAAAAGTCTACATATAAAATGATGTTAAAATAACAAACCCCCTGTCCTTAGAATTGTCCTTTCTACAATTGCAAGCATTCCAAATCTCCGATTATGCAATGTATACCACTACAAAACATGATCATTTACTCAGTAATTTTAGAAAACCAATGTTCAATTGTTGTAATTAACACACAACTGTAAAGTCTTATTATCCATCCTTTAAGCAACACACATAAAAGACATGTTTTATTATTTTTGGCCTGTATATAATATGTTTAAAACAAGTTTGTTCATGAGCTTAGATCATTCTATACAGATAATTTGTACACTGGTGCTGTTTATTCAAAGGACTATCTGGATTACAGTTCTAAAGTGAGGCGTGATAATCACAACAACATTGCATTCATATGTCACATTCATTGGACTAATCCCATATATCTATTGTCATAGCATACACGGGTCAGACTGGATAGATTCAGTATAGATACATACTGTGGATTAATATCTGAGGTTATTATTCCAATCTTGTCATACAATGTAAATAAAGCAGTCATTTGACCAATCTAAAGACTGGACGCAAGGGGTTCTCGTTAGAAGAAATGCATCTGAACTAGACATGTATGATGTACGTGTTAAACAGGTTTTCACATGTCATGAAAATCTTTGGTAGCTTTTGAAAATTCTCTGTGGTCCACACACTTCGTTAGCCTCTGAAGTACTTGAATTGATATGACCTTCCATCTTTGGACATACACATGACTACTTGTAACTATTTTATTTATGTTTTCATTTTTTCATGTTGTCAATTATGTGGTATGCCTTATCAAAAATTAAGTACAGAAATCTGGCTGATAAAAGGCAGAGGCTGTTTGCCTTCATCTCAAAGGGGACAGGTCCACAGTAAGTCCAGTCAAGGTTAGTTGCACCAATCACAGCCAACTCAGCTGGCGGTCTTTCAAACTTTAAAAATGGCATATAAAATCTGGTCAGTCTATGACATGTTTTATCATGCAATCTTGATTTGTTTATGAAATTTAACAGTCCAGACATTGACATGTATTTCAGAAAAAGGTTTTTTTGCAAATCAATGACTGCATCCATAAAATAAAATGTTTGTCATGGAACCTTGAAAACAGGTGATCAATGGCAAATGATTACTAGACCTGTGATGACTAAATAGCTATCCTATGTTAAACACAACATGACTGGTTGAGGACCAACATTTCTGGGAATATCCCTGACTCAAAATCAATCAAAAAAGGCGTAATTAAGCTGAATGTAGGTCATTGATTATGTCAGTAACTCCCCATGAGGTGCTAATTTAAGTTTAATAAAGTGTATAAATATATAGTGATTTCTGTTTTTGATGGATTGATAGAGATAGTATATGTAATTACCTTGATTTTGGTGGATTAAAATGTATTAGTATAACACTATATAATTTCTTAGACAAAGTTTCCAACATTGATTTAATGTTAATTATAACATGTATTAGTATAACACTATATAATTTCTTAGACAAAGTTTCCAACATTGATTTAATGATAATTATAACTTATAAGATGAGGTACAAGAAGAAATTATCCCTTTGTTGATGATAAAAACGATGATGATTCCTCTAGCCACTGAAACTTAGTACATCAGGCTTAGAGAATTTGGAAGATTTCACGGAAAACCCATTACCTGTTACTTATCTGGATTGTACATATACCAAGAACATATTATGTACACGACGTTAAATAAAGATTATTAATATTATTATTGACTTCTCTCTCTGAAATGGCACTTCTAAGCATTACTGATTGTCAGTGTGAATAGACTGTGGATATCATTGTCTAGCAATACATATTTCCTTTTTGATATGTGTACGTTAAGCACCAGCTACTGGCCTTGGTGACAAGTCATCTATTAGGTTATATTTTAGGTACTACATACTGCGAACTATTGTGGAATTATGTATCCCTTCAGTTAAACAAGTTGGAACCCTTGATCCATATCAGCCAAGGCCTCCTGCCCCTCACACTGATATGGAGCTATCAAGATGAAAGTGTATATGATATGGAAATGGCTACACGATAACCTCTATTCTAGAAGTATCATACACTCAACATCACTCGTTTTTTTTATATATATAAAACTTCGAGTTCCCGGTACATGTGTGTTCATGTATATTTAATATTCTGTCCTTTATAACACATTTAATATTATTCAGCATACTGTAGGTTGTAGCATCTACGTCTAATACAAACACCGAGATATGCATGGAGAGATACGTGGTTATCATTTCGTAATAGTGGAACACACTCATCAAAGTGATGCATAAAATGTTTTGGCCACTTAACATTCTTAATCCATGCCTTTCAATTTCAACCAATGTTTTCACAAAAGTCCTACCATGATACCGTACAATCAGTATATTATTTGTCACAGAAATAGGTATGGATGAAAATGGGCAAAAAAAATAAACTGACAACGCTTACAAGCATATCTAAATTATCAAAATATCTCTCACCTCAAAGATTACACCTCCACTGGAAGCCATTTTTAGGTCATGTTTACGTGAATGACGTCAAACTCTCGTTGGTGACGAGAACGAACGAGATTCTGTACTCTCTCTCAATAGGAAACTAAACAAGACGACTTTTGCTCAGCTCTCGTCATCAAATACATGAAAACCATGTAGTCGCCTTATTGGGATTTTAAACACTTATATCAGACAACATGTCTGTTGATTTCATCATTATAGGGTTACTTGTTACCCTTTCCGGCCACTTTTCTGAGGGAAATACACAAACTGAAGGTAAGTCTGCAACACTTGTCACTGAAATCTCCTTATAATGTCACTACATTACAGTTCAGCATGCAGCGTGACATGGTTTCACTTTCTGTGGGTACTGAAATTAGGCCTAACTTATATTATTGGCCTTACTAAGCAGGTTTAGTGTTCCAGTTGTCAGATGTTTAGCTACTTGGATGTAAGAATTCATAATTGATGATCTGTCACTGTGAATTCACCCTGGACCACAATACACAACAGTGACAGCTGATCATCTGCAACAGGACAGCGATTCTGGAATCTGTCATTGAACACGAAGTACGGGTCAGCGCCCTGTTGGAGAGCTTCAGTATTAGGTTGTGGCGATTAATGACTGTTAATAACGACATAATTTCTTAACTGAATACTTTAATAAAACATTATCAAGGATCCTCATATTGAATATACAGTGATCAATCTACAATTTATTTTAATGAGTCCTTTTCAACTGTATTGTTAAAAAAATGGGTCCCACAATGTTAAATTTAACCATTTTCAGAAATTCTGTGAGTCCCATAAAAATTCTATGAGTACAGGACTCGGGACTCGCATGTAGATTTATCACTGCTTATATGACAAATATTTGTAAATACTCTTCTTTCTTTGTTAAACTAATTTTATTGTGATGATTCTTTTTCTTATGATCATTAAACTTTGACAGTACCTCATCCTGTCAGTGTAAGACAATAGCTTATGAATTACCACCTGGATGGCAACATATGCTGGTTAATTATGGACATATTTTTATTATTAAAGATGTATACTCGCATTAAATCCATTTAATTTTCAACTGTGGAGTGAAATGCATTTAACTATTGACCTAACAATACATCGTGGACTGAGTATTTTATTGCTGAAATGTTGTCACTTGTCACAGCCATATGGATTGCAACCTCATTGTCATATCATGAGCCGTGATCCTAGACTGAGCTTAAATCGAGCAGTATTACAGGTACAACTGTTAAGAAGAGTTCCACTCAGAGTTTGTGTCTCAACATTCAGTCGTTTTGATGCTGTGCAGTTTTAACTCATGATGACAACATTGTTAAATGAATGTTTTATTGTAAAAGCCTCAGTTTTACCCCTGCAGTTTTTCTTTATTTTTTTATTTATTTTTTTCATTCAAAATGTGAAGGAGTTGGACAGGAAAAATGCATAAGTCAAGAACTCGGATACAATAACATGTATCTGTTTCCCTAAATAAAACACTGTCAAGGTTAGTTGTAAAACACCACTGCACTGAAACATCAAGGAGTATAAAACCGCATGATCGTACGCATAATGCACCCAGCAACATATTTCAAGCAAATGACCATTCCAAAGATAGTTGCCTTAATTTATCACTAAATGACTAATGGAGAAAATAGTGGTGTACTCCTTTACAAGAGCTTAAATCATATTCCAGTGTCAAACACATGTCCCTATAGTCTACTATAAGGCCCAGATTTCAACTTTAAAATACCCAAGGCCCAGGCTTCAACTTTTAAACTGAAATTCATTATATAACTGAATTAAAAAGAGTCCACTCGGGTCGCATACAGAGTCATAGGGTCTACATAGATGTTTCATCTTAAAGGGTAAATAAGCAAACCCGGAAGATGGTGGCACCACATTATGCTTAAAATGAGAATATTCAAAATGAAATAGCAGGATTCACAAACTTTGAAAAATGTGTAAGACAATTGAATGAAAGGTTTGTGTGGCTGTAATTAAAAGGCTAGAAATTTGTTAATCTGGGACAAAAGAAACATAATTTGACCCAAAAGCATTTGTAATTGTCCAAGTACAAGTGCTGCCATGGTTTTGAAATCCTGGTATATAAGCTCATATTGCTGAACAAAACCCAGGAAACACTATACGAGCTTCTGACTTGACACACAGCTGTACATGTCATGGACATAATCACAATGTGTTAATCATCTTATATTAGACTATCATTTTCAGCTGCTTCCATACTCATACAGTTGCTGACATGTTACAACAGCAGATGGGAATTAAGGTGTTGTGTTACCAAACACTGAATTACATGTAAATTTGTAGTTAACTTGGGAATATATATGTTGTACAAAATGTACATGTATCTGGCAAAGTGCATGTGTATGACAGAGATTGAATTGATAGCTTTTGGACCAGAATTTGGTTGTTTTCCTCTTTGTCTTATCCAAGTTAATCTGATTGTTTTACCATATTGTAACCAAATTATATTTGATCAGATATGTGTCCTAGATCTGGGTGATTTCAAGAGACTGTTGTCATATATAAAGATCATTACAAAACAAACTGCTGGCATATACAATTATTCTTAGCAAAAATTGAAGTGACCACCAAAATGTTCACATATATACTGAAATACTTGGGTCCTTGATCACTTTTTATTATCACTTATGTACAAAAATATATAATTAAACAGCTGTTGTATATTGTCAGGACCATATAGAAGTTTACTAAACTCTCTTTTTTATTAACTTATTAATCTTGCTGAACCACACCCGAGAAATTAAAGTATTGACCAAAATCAAGCTGAAGTTCATTAAAAGTTTTCTTTAGGTGATTGACCAGTCCATAAACTTTCATATGGCCTGAAGTACAATTCAATATATATACATTATTGGAATACTAATACTATTTTATTTTCAACCTAGCTAGTAGCCAATTTATTAGCCACATCATATTTTTAGTAGCTAATGGAAAAATAAAAATAGTCAATGGCTATATGTATACTGCAGTACTTTGGCTAACGACAGTGCGAGTCCTGTTATAGTATATGTAGTAGCCTTTGATATTTGCACCTGTGTTTTCCACAAACAGTTAACTGGCCCTTAAATCATGGACAAAATCTATAATTATATGCTGTGAACACTCAGCCATATTTTTCAGAGTAAGATTAAAAAATAAAAAGTTAAACAGATTGACCTCCACTGTTTAAGGTTACATTAATATAAATATCTGGCAATATTTGGCCAGATTAGTCAGGTAAGATAACTATCATTGTTATTGTTGGATGTTGTCTAATAGCGGAGTACTGGATCATAGGTAGTTCTAATTCAGTATTTTTAAGAATACAAAATACTTATATATATGAAAATAACAATGTAAAATTAATATTACAATGTATAAAAATCCTACATTGGATGTCAGTGACAGTGCAGCTATAAAGGGGAGCATTCCGGCCCAGAAAAGGTGACATTCCAAGAGTTCCTATGTTAAAATGTCATTATATATTTTCTGTATATCTGACAACAAAAATGTAGTCAGAATAACCTGTTACAGTTAAATCCCTGAATCACAACGCTATAGATTTCATATAAAAAAGGCTATTTCAAAACAATTTAATATTTCAATATGAAGAAATTGTAGAAATACACAAGTTCAATAATGCTGTACATTTCCATTTTCATCTAAAGTTGTTAAATTTGACCAGCAGCATGAAAGGTATATAAAATGTTATTGTGTACAAAAAACAAATCAGTCAATATTATTGATCAGCAAATAACCAGTGATGGATTTAACTGTAAATACATCTACAATAATTAATGTCGTTATTACACCAGGTAGCTGTTACTGGGTGATAAAATCAAAGTACAGCTGACCAATTTATAGCAGACAGCGGTCATAGTGATGGTCTGCCATGCATGTTAGTTATAGAGTATCATTAATTGAGTCAGTATAGTGTACAGACTACATTATTGGTGTTACACAAAAGTCAGAACTAACAGATGTTGTGTCAGGGGACTATTGTATGCAATGATTAACATTACATAATGAGACATAAAGGGACATACAGCTATCATACATTTAGAAAGGTCATAGGTCATAATGATAGATAAAATCCTTTTATATCTCATTATGTAATGTTAATCATAAGGTTACAATAGTGTAACACAGGGACCTGAGAATTTGTTACAGCTATATTTAGACATAAACTAAGGTGTTCAGAGTAATTTTACTTTGTTTTAGGGGTTGAGATCAACTTCCGGTAAAAATTCCACCCCAATGATGATAATATACAAGAAGGGAGGAAAGATTTAGATGTCGAAAAATTGACCACAGACTTACTTAGCTTTCTTGCATCAAAAAACACATTTCTAGTTAAACTTGATGTACGTATATTCACGTAAAATGTACTTTCTTTCTGCAGACAAAATCTCCATTTCCTCCCAAAATATTTTCCACATCCGAGTTTCAAAGTTTTTCGCAGACATAGAGACACTTTTTTGTATATTCAGGAGGTTGACGTCGGCCGCGTGCCGAATCATGTGTTGATTGGCTGGTTATTTTTGGTAAAAACATGGCTGCAGGTCTAGCTAATATAATCACACCATGAGTCCCGGCACGTGGCTGACGTCAACCTCATGAATATACAAAAAGTGTCTCTATGACTGCGAAAAACTTCAAAACATGTAAATTACTCTAAACACCTTAGTTTAGGTCCAAATATAGCTGTAACAAATTATCAGGTCCCTGTGAAGTGTAACACTAGACATTTGTTCTAATTTCTATCAATCATTTTCTTCAAATATTTAAATAGCACTATCTATATATTAAAAATGTACCTGAAAATTTGAAATACGGAAGTGTGTAATACTTTTTAGTACAATGTTTACGTAAGCTTGAACATGTGTTGGGAGAGAATAGCTATGTTAGTGATAATGGGACCAGGTACCGGTGTAGGGTGATAATGGGACCAGGTGTAGGGTGATAATGGGACCAGGTACCGATGTAGGGTGATAATGGGACCAGGTACTGTGTAGGTTGATAATGGGACCAAGTGTAGGGTGATAATGGGACCAGGTGTAGGGTGATAATGGGACCAGGGGTAGGGTGATTATGGGACCAGGTGTAGGGGGATAATGGAACCAGGTACCGGTGTAGGGTGATAATGGGACCATGTACTGTGTAGGTTGATAATGGGACCAAGTGTAGGGGGATAATGGGACCAGGTGTAGGGTGATAGTGGGACCAGGTGTAGGGTGATAATGGGACCA